AAACGTTTTTTTTTTACAAGTTCAGGATTGTTCTGTCCAAATGCCAGGCAACAGAAGTTTCAGTTAAACAAACATTCGACAGAGCTGCTCTGGATGCAGAAATAAATGCATGGCTTGAGATGTGCATAAGAGCACAGTTTGTCTTGACAAGTAGCATCAGACTGAGAAAAGGTCAAGACAGGTGGAAATAAGGCTGTAATGTTTAACTCAAGACAGAGAAGGACTTGTTCATGACACTACAGTTATAGTCTTTTCCAGCAGTACGTATACTGCATACAAAAGCCACTGGTAAACAACATCATCCTGACCTGAACAGTGAACTAAGGAGGAGACATGTTAGCAGCTTAGCTTGAGTTGAGAGCTTTGTGACACCATCTCCAAAACAAAGAATAGTTTGATTTTGTTGCAAAGTTGGCATTTACATGCATCGTGTTCAACTAATAATTTTATGCATCATTTTTTATTCCCTACTAATTATTTATAATTATTTTTATTCCTCTCCAGGTGTTCTGGAGCTCCACTGTAATATTTTTTCAGTCTTTTCTCACCCTTCTAATGAAAGTCTGGAGGGGTGATATCTGGGGTTTTGTCTTTTTGTCAGCAATCCCTTACATCACATACAGTATCTCTGCTCAGGTGCTGCAATTTCTGCACTGGTTCAAAATGTAATAAATGAATAAATTATGTTACCTAAACCCAGGCTAGATTAATGAGACTGGACTGGGCAGTCTGTTGCTTTGAATCAAACCTAATTATGCTGTCCATGCATGTTAGGAATTTCAGAACTAAAAGATTTAAACTGTTCTTTGCACAAAACTTCTAAAATTGTTTTGCTACACAGTCAAATTAAGTGATTTATATGGGAACTTATTGGTGCATGTATTAGATATAAATAAATTAATTAATAATTTAAATTGTATTGTGTTTAAATTACATTCTTGCATTTGTTTTGCAAAAACCAAAAAATAGGAACGGTGCCCTTCTGCAGCAGAATCACTAGAGACACTTTAAAAAATATGTCAAAAACTTAATGTTTCACTACCATAGTGAACATACTGCACAGTGCAACGGACAAGCTTATCATTATATAATATATTTGACCTAAAGTATGTCAGATGTACGTATTTGCTCCAGATTGGCTGTGTCTAATATTTTCCTGCTGGATTTAAGAAGAAGATAATCTCCTTTTCCTGTTATGTTTGTGTTTAAGAACACAAGGTCAGGGAGGTTCAGCCCAGTCTCAGCACTGTGTAACCTGAAATGTTATTAAAGCGCACAATTAATAAAAGTCTCTTCACAGTTTTTCTGGTGTAAACAAAGTCTGTACATCTGTAATAAAGAAAAGAGGCCAAAGTGATTGATGTGAAGAATCAGGGAGGAAAAAATATGAAGCCCATTCTACTTTGTTCATCTGGATTTAAAAATTCACTAAATGACAAGAAATATACACACATAACACGAACAAAGTATCTATCAATGTGAAAGATGTGAACATGTTACATGCTTTCTTGTTTTTCATTCCAGGAAGCAGCGAACAGGATGACTGCCAGACTCCCACTGTATCTACTTGATTTATGTTTCCTCTCTTTCATGTGGAAGCCTTTAAAACACCAGAGCTGCTGGTTTTGGTTCAGTGAATCCGACATCATGGTGTCAGAGAAAGACTTGTTTGTGACGGCTGCTGTCCTTGTTGTTGCCCTCATCTCACAGAGTAAGTTTGCACTGGCATTGCTTCTTTATTAACTAGTATTTCATCCATTTATTTTTTAATTCTCAGGAATTTAGTATTGAGATTTTTATTGAGCTGTTTTATATTGTGCATTTTGCTGTAACTCTAGTTGTACTAAATGTTTTCCTACTTTATTGTTTGTCATCTCACTCCACTTATATTGAAAGGTGTGGTTTAAATAGCTGTGGAAAGTGCTTCTATCTGACCGTGTGTTTTGTTCATTTGAGGTGAGGGTATAATTGGGGGCAGGGAGGCAGCGCCACACTCTCGGCCCTACATGGCCTCCATCCAGATGCCAGAAGGAGAGAAAATGATCCATGAATGTGGAGGGTTTGTGATTGCAGATCAGTGGGTGATGACTGCAGCCCACTGTCTGCCAACCGGGTGAGGAAACCTTCCTCTGAGCACAATGGATGCAGCTGGTAGACAAAGGGCACAAGATTAGGAAAAGTCTGGTATATTTAATCCAAATGACAACGTTTTTTTACTTCAACACATAAATGTTTTCTGTGTTAGCACTTCTGTAGCTCAAAGTTTAATTAATGCTGTTTTTGTGAAATAATTCTGTAACGTTTTCACAGTGTTTTGTCATTATTGTTCATGGTCTTCCCACTTTATGGTCAAGGTCAAGGTCATTACAATGTTTATGTAATATAAAAAGGAAACAACATCATATAACAGTACGCTTTAATGATGTTTCTATTGTGTTTATTCATAGGCCAAATGGAAGGATAGTAGTGTTGGGAGTCCATTCTCTGAGTGAACCTGAAGAGACACAGCAAACCTTTGACATTTTGGAACTTCACAACCACCCAGACTTCAGCGTGTCAAATTATGATAATGACATTGCTTTAATTAAGGTAAGTGTATCTTTTGTGTCAGTTGTCAGCGGTACAGAAGTCTAAACACCATCAAAAAGTGAAATTAAATGATAATTTTGGATGACTTTTCTGTGTGATTTTGGCAGTTGGACCGCCCAATTAATGTCTCTGAAGCGGTCAAAGCTGTGGAATTCCTGCGTGCAGGCGGCGTGAACCCTGACACCAATGCAGAGGTCGACACAGCCGGCTGGGGATCCCTAGACAACCTGGGGTCCAGGCCAGACAAGCTCAAAGAGGTGGTCATTGAGGTGATGAACCCAGCTCGGTGCAAACGCGGTGACTACTTTGGCAGGAAGTTCACTGATAACATGATATGTGCACACAAAGTATGTCCTGACCCCTGTGATCAACCATACAAGAAGGAAGACAGTTGTGATGTAAGTTTTAGTGCCTCCTTTTCTAATGAATGTTGAATTTGTTCATTGTTGTTAACAAATGTGATAAAGACCATGAGCGTAGTTATCTGCATTAAAAGTAGCATATGTTAGATTTGTAGATATGTAGACTCTTGTTACATGATACGCTGTAGGGGTGTGGTAGAGGTGTTTTCAGTTACCTCAGTTAACTTTCACTTTCATTCACTGCTTGCTGCCAACCAGAGTTTGTCAACTGCAGGTTTAAATATTATAATTTCCTGTTTAAGACCCTTTCTATTTGTCTTTGTGTTGCCTTTCAGGGTGACTCTGGAGGTCCTCTGCTCTACAATGGTATTGTAGTGGGCATTACGTCAAACGGAGGAAAGAAGTGTGGTCTTATTAAAAAGCCTGGAATTTACACCATCATCTCCCATTACACGGAGTGGATTGACAACACCATGGCAGTGCAGCCAACATTAGAACCACCTTAACAAATAAAGGAGAGCCGTTTTTATCTGCAGCCATTTCAACCACTGCTTTGTCTGAGTCACTAATTACTCTACTTAGATATGAAGCTGATGCACCCATAGGACATTATGTTTCTTTGTCATTTGCATCTAATGCATAGTTACAGAGATAAATGTCCAGCATGATGATCAACACAAATGATATATTTCACATCATTTTATCAAATCACTGTATAAAAGTATCAATAAAATACAGTTTATCACTTTCAAGTGTCACATCTGCCTTGAATTGTTTGTAAAAAATTAACAAATAAGCAGCTGATGTTGTAAAATAACAAAGAAAGATGTGCTGAGCTAAAAATATCAACACAAAGGGTTCCGTAAACCATAAATAAAACTTTATTATAGGTACAATGACATTATCTACTTTATATTTCATTTGATTTTTGTGCATTCATGTGGACAGCAAAGTAAGAATTTCATTGTACAGGGAAACATGTTTCCTAACTGTGCATATGACAAATAAACACTTTGACCTTTGACCTGGAGCAGACTAACTGCAGTAACAAAAACCCTCATTTGAATGCTAAATAACAAGACAAAGCAGATTAAGTCACAGATTGAACAGAAATAAGTGACATTATACAATAACTGGTATAATAAAAATGAAACAACATTTAGCATAAGTCTTGTTTTCATGCAGTTGTTTCAGTTTGTTAAAGGATGGTGTTAAAGGCTGTAACTGTTATATAAGCACATCTCACAAACTCGTCAGATAAGTCCTCATACCAACTGGGAAAGTCCAAAAGTAAATCACATCTGCAGCTGTATTTCTTCCTCCCTCCTCTGCTCTGCACAGATAAACAGAGACATTAATAATTCCTACTGTGTTCTGTTCTTGGAAAATCCCCACACCACCTCCAACATATCTTAGTTTGATTTAAAAAAAAAACGAGTGTGCATGTTATTTGAACTTAATAAATGTATTATGATAGCCTTTAATCTCTCTACATATAATTCTAACAATATATAGTAGAAAGGCAGTTTTCTTAAATTGCAAAGGTTTCAGATTTTGTTCATTTCACTCATTTAGACTACACCAGTGGTGACTCTCTGCCAGTGATCAAGCTGTCAAAAGTAAACCATGCCAATATCACCTATAAACACAACAAACTTGCATTGTATTGCAGTACAATTCAAAACGCCTGTAGTGGCAACTTGTTCCACATGGCTGAGTCAACACTTCTCACTAGAACCGAACACTAGAAGCTTCAGACAGGTAATATTAATTATACTGTACTGGACTGTATCAGGTGGAGCAGGCCTCCTATCTGCAGTGAGTATAGAGGCAAGTGTCTCTTAATACATAGTCTGCTTGCATCTTCTTCCTCTCCTGCAGCTCCTGCAGAGACAATCTCTTCATTGCACAGGAGCATTGTCTATGTGAGGCAACCCATTTGTTGATTCTTGAAAGCAGGTCTTTCACCAGAGAATAGCTCAAAGCACTGATCAATTTCTCTTTCCAGAATTAATATTACAGTAGAAGATTTCTAATTGCCAGGGAGAGCCATTAGGAAAACTATAGTAGATTATAATTCATATAAATCACGTTGTAACTGTATCCCCCCCCCTAGTGGGAGAATTTGCTGCATGTGAATGTCTGAAAATGCAGTTCAGCAAAAATGAATGTTCATGTAGAAAGGAAAGATCTGAAAGTGGATAATGTTCTAAAATATTTGTTTTTTAAATGTCCCACATTAAATAAAAGTTGATCCAGAAAGTCACACGGCCCTGTTTCAGTAACTTCTGTATTGAACTCCATGTTTGTACAGATGTAAATTTTTTATTTATCTTTACAAATTCAGATTTAAAACTATAAAAGCAAAAAAAATCTGTATTACCATCAGTGCTGTATCATCTGGCGATACAGCATAATTTTGTGGCTCATCATAGTCTCCTCAGGATTCTTTTTGTCTCCTTTTTCTTTTGATCAGTTTACCTTTTTACTCATTTAGGGCTGTGTTTGGTGACTTCAGCAAGTCTGGTTGATGGCTCCATTTGACTGCTCCTATATTCCTCTCTGTATCCTATCACTAATGATGAAGCTACGAAGGGACAATTAATATTGATAGACACACTCTGTACTACACAGACACAGATGAAGTAGTCTGTGTGCAGGAGTTCCCCCACAATGCAGCTGAGATTTCCTTGGGATTGCACCATCACCCTGTGCTGCTGCGCACCGCTGCCTGCAGCTGTCAAAACGGCCCAAAACAACACAGGGCTACAATATAAAAAGGGGGACGTCAATTGGTAAATTCAAATACATTAATTTCTAATGGCCTATTTTGGCCGACACGTATTAAGATCTTATGTATATACTAAAAGTATCTGAAATAAAATTAACTAATGCTGTGTACTGTCATAGTTTACCCCAAAGTATTGTTAAAATATTCTGGACGCCCCTATTTATCGAATGGTACACTCCGTTGCTAAGCTATCTTGTGTAGACATTCTCCACTGTGATGGAGTTGCTCGGCCTGAAAATTAAGAGTATATAACGTTGTCCAGTTCAAAACGTTAATTGTGTGCAAAATTTACAATGGCCGGTATAAGGAGAGTTAACGGAAAATTGTCGGGAATCAACGCAGCTATCAGGTAAGGTTAATATCGAACTGGGTTTACAAAAAAAGCTTCAGTTAAGCGGTCGAGCTAGCATTAGCTTAGCTCGAACCGCCGTTCGTTAGTAAATGGTCCAACACCAGTTATCGTTAACTAGTTAGCGGTAACTGTATCGCTAGCAACACGTTAGCAATTTGTCGAGTGAGGTAACGTTATAGATTACAATTGCGATGTTGTTTAAGATAATGTCAAATTATTCATCTGTGCACTGCGTCAACATCCATTGCCTCGTACCCTAGCCAGCTCATTTTTATTAGCTTAACTTAAATTGCTTGCTAGTTATGCATAACGATAACTTAATGGGGGTCTGTTCAATTGTCCAAAACAAACAAAAATTAGCTAAAGTCATGACGATAACTAGGTTAACGTTACATCTCATTAATGTTATCCTACAATTGAGTAACTGTTATCTCATCTGTTGAAGCAGTGCCATTTATATGCATTTAATATGACAAAACTGGCAATCACGAGGTCTGTCTCATAATTATGAGCGATATTTGGGATAATTCTCTTAGCTTTTGACAAATGAGAGTTAGCTATAGCGTGGCTATTGAAGTCATACTTTGAAGAAGTCGCTCATACTGTAGCTATGAAAGTTTTTTTCCTTATAAATTCGCTCCCAGTCGCAAACTTCACCTGCTGCTTGACAAAAAAGTGATTGTTTCCTACATCAGTGGAATCTGTCGACATGAACATGAGATATCTATCATGATGAAATGTGGTTGAAATCTTTTGAAACAAACCTTGTGTTTATTTTTTTAAAGAGCTGTTTTCAAGGTCAATAATGAAGCTTTTCACTCAAAATTCACTTGTAGTTAATGTTAATAACTAACGATACATTTTTATTGTTGTGCTTTGCAGCTGCTGTCGCCTGCGTCAGGTTCAGTCTCTGCTCTGTGAAGCTGGCACTGCCACTCCTGATGGCATCCTGTGCTCTCTTGGTACGTAAAGTGACAGACCTGTAAATCTTTAAAAACTGCCAACAGCTAAGGCCTGAGGAAACTGTTTTTCACAGCAAATGCTGAATGAAACAGTTTATGTGTTCATTCCAAAACAGCCAACAAATATCAATGTCTCTTTTTTCTTTTGTTTGGGGTTTTGTTTGTTTGTTTCAGGAATTGACAGTCGATATAATGAAGGTTGCACTGAACTGGCTAAATACCTGTTCTATGGACTATATAGTCAGCTGAATGTGGAACATGTGCTTGATGAATTTCCTGAAGAAATGTTGGATGGTGAGTTTCTGAAGTATTTTTCTAACTGTGCTTTTAATCATATTTTTGTGGTTGTTGTAATTGTTACTTACTCTGATACATTTCTTGTCTACTTACTAGATGTGATCCTGCTGATTAAGGCAGAGTGTGTTCATCTGTACTGCAACCCACTGAACTATAGTTACCTGTTGCCCTACGTGTCTCACTGGAGGAACCTGCATCTCTACTGCATGACAGAGGCAGAGGTTAAAAAAGCCCTGTTCCTCCCTACAGGCCTGGCATTCCTATTAATTACAGTTCCCGTAGCAGCAACCTTATTAAAGTATTTGTTAATGTATCCACCTGACTGGTATTTTGGTTTTTCAGGCATTAGACGGGTCTTCTTAAATGTATCATAATGAAAGCAGTCCATTCAACCTTTGTTGCTTCTAACAGTCGCATATCAACACAACGTTTGCCAGACCTGTTTCATTGCTGAACTTTTTAAATATTGTAGCAATAACTGTTATTGTTATTTCAGAGATGAAGTCACTTTCTAAGTCATCTGCCCCTGTAATCTTTCCACCTCCACACACACAGTATGAAGATGAGGAAGCAGCAGAGGAATTCAAAATCTCCAGTTTTGTCACAATGGTGCAGGATTGCTATCGTATTGGAGTACCTTACAGCTCCCAGGGTACATCATCACATTTTGATATCCGCATTCATTCACTACACTTGTGCTTAAGATTATTGTGAAAAGTGCTCACACATTAACCTCATGACATTACATGAATAACAGTAAGTTGGAATTTAGTGTAGTTTTTCCTACTTGACAGCCTGTAACTACTATTACTCAGCAACACAGGGAATAATACTTGCTCTGCTGTTTTTTAGGACACATCCAGAAGTTTGATATGTTTATGGTGGAAAAGTGGCCACTAATTCAGGCATTTGCCTTGGAAGGCATTGGTGGAGGAAGCTTTTTTACCATCAAATACAAGGTACATTCAGAATGTTGAAAGTGATAATTGCTAAGCGTTGATGGGTGATAAACCTGTGAAAGATATTTTGTATTAGAGCAGTTTGTGGAACTACACTGGTCTTGTGATTCTATGTTTCTTATTCCATTCCTTTTTTCCAGCTTATGGATATGAGTGAGAAGCTTTGGCAGGTGTACAACAGACTTGACCCAGTGTCTCTGGACCAACTCCTTGCCGAGGTGCCACAGACATTCTTTATTCTCTGGCTGTTCTAGCTTTCATAGGATTCTGCTGCATCAATACACGCATGTTCATAGACCTGTTGTTTCTATTAAGACGATGGATGCTTTGTTTTATTTACCATTAATCAACAAAATTATTACTTTTTTTTGTTCTTGAAATCTAAAGTGTATTATAAATCACCACACAATTTCATATTAATAAATAGTTAACAGTAGTTGATTAAAAAGTTAGTCAGCAGAAACATATTGAACTGATGAATTTAGACTTTGTTGGGTTCATTTTTAATTTACATTTTTTGGTAGAAATTTAAATGAACAATTTTAAAAAGTAATTTAATCTGTAAGGAAAAACCAGTAGTTGCAGTGCTACCCCACTGATACAGATGCAGCATTATACCCAGAGATAGGATATGGACACCTCCCAGAACTGGTGGCTGAAGGATGATTTTTGGCCCAGTATGGTATGTGAAGTTATGGACATGACCAGTCAGTATGCTGTATACTCCAACCTGGGTGTTGTTTATTTTAGGACTTGGTTAACTTTGAGAAGCAGTGGACTTGCTTTTTCTCCAGCATGGACCTGGAGAACCATCTGTCCATCTTGGAGCTGTCTGAAGCACAGGCAGGAGAGGTGAGTTTATAGCCACCTTGTCCTACAAGAAAAGTCGTAAACTTTACAACAAATGCAAAGAGTATTTTCAAATGGCATTGTCCGGCCTTTGGTCCTAGTTGTCAGCTAAGTGTACTTTTATCCGCATTAAGTCTATTCTTATTGATCCACAGGCATTCCGTACATATTACTCTCATGGACTGATCTCGAGCAACATCACAGATAAAAGGTATTCCTCATATTCAACAAACAGATGTTGTGGTCTGTAGAATGAAAAAATACTATTCTAATCAAATGTTTCTTTGTTTTTCAGTAAAAGTCAGCAGCCCTTTGTGTTGTTTGGGAAGCATTCCTCCTCAGAGGATCTGGAAAGCTATTTGTTCAACTTTCCCTCAGAGAGCCATCAGGTCCGCAACACAGGGCCTCGGGGTTCCATAGCCAGACACATGGTGAGTAGCAACAGCTGAGTGAAGCACAGTAGCTGTGGTGGTGCAGAGAGCAAATCAGGAATAGGAATCAGTGTAATGTCAAAAAAGGACATATCTAATATTATAAAGTACTCACATTACTGTAGGATTCTTTTAAGTCCTGGGCATCTGCCAAAGGGGTTAGTAGAGTAGAAGCCCTGCCACATTTGAATGGCATGCTTAAAGATTTTATAGATCACATTGCTCAAGATAAGGAGGCAAAATGGCCTGCAGCACCACCTGGTGAAGTAATAAGTACAGTCAGTGCTCAGTGACATGCAAATCATCTAATGCTAGGACATGTGATTGTTGCTTCCTATATCTCCTGCAAATGTAAGATTTAACTTATTTTGCGCCATTGTCTGTGTCATTTGGGAAGTAGGAACATGCCTTGAGTCAGTCTTTCAAAAGAAACACTTTTTTGTCCATTAGATTCTGCAGTGTGTGGCTCCCAAAGGACCTCTAGCCTGCTCCCGAACATATTTCCTTGGGACCACCCACACCCCATATCTCGGTGAGCATTTACCTGACTTTGCTTATATAATATTGATCAATTTGATACAGGTTTTTTATATTTTATATTATGGTCCTTTAGCATCACATTTCATGGGGAGCCCTGCTCCAGAGTATAGTTTGATACCCCAGGGGTTAAATCAGCACTAGCTAACCCTCTGTCAGAAATGCAAGTGTGAAAGGTCGCCCTGCAGCATTCAGAATGGCCTTAGCTGGACATGGGTTACAGTAAGTGTAACGTGGGCCCTTATTTTTTTCAGTAGTATATAATTAGTTTACACTCACTCTATTTCATCCACAGGAAATCAAAGCTCAGAGCAAAAGAAAACAGAAGTCTTGTAAGTGATTTAATTTTGGATGTAGTAGGCAAATCATTATTCTCCTCTCTTGAGCTATTGGTTGGCCATTGTTAAGTGTCTGAAAATGTTTTGATGACTTTTTTCCCAGACTTTTGTCACAGATTTATTCAGCTGCTGTCCAAGCAGTTCTTTCAGGAATCAAATGCTACTCCTGTACCTCCAGTGCTACCAAGGTAAATCAAAAGAGAGCAGCTTTTCTAACATTTATCTTACAGAGTGTACTGTTGTACATATAGTTGCTCATTACAAAATGTTCCAACATTTTAGGCTAAGGATGTAGCTGAGAACACCTTTCTAGTGGCTTTGGACTCGGTGAATTTAAGTCAGTACCACAGCTGCCTCAGGTAGAGATTTTAATTTGTTCACAGTTTGTCCACTATGTGTTTCACTCTGCTTGATGATGCCATTTCTCTCCCAGGTCCAAATGTGAATTCAGCATTCAAGCAGTGAATAACCAAGGGAGGTGGGTCCTGTTAGTCATTACTCATAATGTGCAAGCATTTGATTTCTGTGACCCATGGTGGCATTTTTTATTGTGTTTGAAAATACATAATAAATGGATGTTTTCTTTAAAAAGTGTTTTGTGTTTTTGTAAATATGTGATTTCAGACCTAATGGGTCTGTTTTATTTTTTAATTTTCAGGATCATTTCTCTCACTGATGAAGGAAGTCGTTATGTAGTAAAAACAGTAAGTTAGAGAAACATTTCATATTTTCCTTGTCCAGAGAATCACAATGAAATGATGTTTATACATTGCTCTGAAAAGCTTCTTTATCACAGGGTGGCCGTGGGTGCTTAAAATGTATATATTAAATACAGTTTTACTAGTAAAAGGCCTTAAAAAGTATTAAATTGTCTTAAATTCAGATTGGGTGGGTCATTTTTTTGTCACTTCACTGCAAGAATTCATTTAATCTGTTAGACCAAAGAAGAAGAATTGCTTATTATTTTTAAGAATTGTATGGTCAGTGATGGTATTTTTGTGTTTTCACAAACATATTTGGACATTGTTCTTTTTGCTTTTTTGTTTTTTTTCCTTTCAGATAAGGTCATCTTTGTTGTTGTTGTTTTGTTTTGTTTTTTTGCCAGTTTTTATCATTTTACCTTATTGTTAATTTTGAACTAACATCAGTGTGTTTACTTGGAAAGAGAATAGTTTTACTTTAGGTATTTCCATCTCAAGTTTGGTCTTAAATTTTATTTAAAGTGGTATTAAAATGGTCTTAAAAAGTGGTAAATTAAACTGGTGTATAGCTGTAGACACCCTGCACCGTCATCACTAATTGTATTGTTTTTTTCTAAGGCCTCCATGACTGTCCATGACATCCCAGACCTGCAGCACAATGGAGGGGACCTGGGCTCTGTGGTCTTCTCTGAATCTTTCTTGGAGTCCAGCATCAACATTCAACAGAAAGGTACTGTACTGGTCCTGATGAAGTCTATCAAAATTGATTTCTGATTGATTCATCAGAGGAAATTTGGTTTATTTAAGAAGCAGAACAAATCCACAGGTCACTGTTAACAGAAAAATAAGCAAAAGTCATTTTGAAACAACAGATGACTGGTATAAAAATATCTTATTTCCTATCTGAGGATCATTTCTGTGACTCATCCTCCATGTTTGCCATTCCTTGGCTTTGTTATTTATGCTCCATTTCAAACCAGTCTCTTTCATCTCCTGCAGATGGCACTGTGTCTTCAGACAGCTGCTACACCATCCTGACTACAACTGTGCCTCGCTATGCTTGCTGGCTGGTATTTATTTTATATTACTGTCAAAAACAGAGTCAGTGTTTTGGGTACTGACTAATTACTTAGTCTATTTTAGTCTAGTCTTTTTTTTTCTCTCAGTGTTGTTTGTTTATTTTTAGCTGGATTCTGATGTGAAGTGGTCTGAGCAAGCCCAACATCTTACGAAGGTAAATTCAGATGAGTCATATTCTCACCGCACTACCTGTTTATTGGCCTATATACAGTGCAGTGCCTGTGACATAATGACCTACAATGTGTGTTTTAAACAGAAAGAGGAAGTCACTTGTTTGGGAGCTGCTCTGACTGTAGCTGATGTTGCGTATGTGTTCTCCAGCAGCCAGCTCTCAACACCTGAAGAAGGTAACATAGTTTTATCTTTTTATTGGGGGCAGTATTGTAGATTTTGTGACAAAGATGTGTGATCCTGTATAACCTAATTTTTTTCTCTCTCTAAATTTTAACATTAGGGAAAATCATTTTCTTCTCCGAGGGACTCCTGTTTATCCATTCTCAATATGGGAGCATTACTCTGTCCAAGGAGCACATCAACACCATCAGGTTCTATGATCAGGTATGCAGGTTAATCATATGGCTGGAGGAAACTCTGTGTTTGTGTAATATTTTCAGTTACGAAATGGAAATGCAGTAGTTCACTTTGCATCAGACCACATTGATGCTTTTTCTGTACAAGAATGGCTTTGTTGTTAGTTGAGTCTTAAGTTATAAAAAACTGGTCTTTATTGGATTCCATAAAACTGTGATAAAACATGAAATATGAATGCAGTGAAATTGTTTACACCAACTTGTGTCATTTGTCAGGACTCTGGCGCTGTGGCATCTCTTTTTGTGGAGTATGAGAGCAGCCTGCTTCCACACCTCCCATTCCCTCTGCACAGCTCTGACCAGTGTCTGGTTTTTGCACTTCTGCCCAGGTCTAAGATCCACATGGCCTTTTATTCCAAGGTAAGACCTTTCGCCTGTGAACTCTGGGTTTAAGATGACCCACTGCTGTGACACAAAAAATCTTAATACTTCTCTATTTTATGCTCATAAACGGCTCCAGTTGTTTGACCCTTTTCTCTTGTGGTTTCAGGTTTTGTCGGTGTGGGAAAAGTCAGAATCTGGACTGACTCTGCAATTGCTGAACCAAGAGCAACTGACGTGGAACCAGAAACACATGTAAAGAAACACATTTTCTCCTTTGCCAGTTTAAGCTATCTGTAGCTATTGTTGTATTGTAAGCTATTGTTTGATTGTGTTTTACCAAGGTTCTTTTTTATGTGTACGTGTTGCTTATTAGCATTTGTCATTAATACGTCTTTTAAGCAGGTAGGTAATTATGTTGAAGTTTCTTCAGGAAATCACTCAAAAACAAATTGCACTGACTTTTTTTCTTTCAGGTATACCAGACTACAGAAGCTGCACGACAGTCAGGAACCACCAGTGGCCAAACGCAGAGGCAGCCTGAGGACTTCGTACTCACAGCTGCCTGAGGACATGGACATGTTAGTGCACACTCCCTTCACACAGCATAGTGCTTCAGAGTTGGACCAGCCAAGTCATAAAACCTGATGCTACTGTCAGGAGAATGTCTTCCTGAAATATTACTGAAGTCTGTGTTCCTTGATACACTGTGCTGACCATCTACAGTTTGAAGGTCTTTTCTACTAAGAGAAAGTACAAGTGGAGCAAATATAAGCAAAGAGAACTGAAAATGCTGGTGGAAGGAAACTCAAAGTCTTAACAGTACCTGTAAAATGGTTGCATTTTCTAAAACTGGAGCACTCGTTGCACTCACTCTATTACCTTACAAATACAAAGTCAGTCAAAAACACTTTTTTCCGACTCCTACTCCACTTACTGATTGCTGCATTTTGGTCTGTGCTAGGTTTCTTCAGCACTTTGCCTTGAGCAGTATTGGTCAGGAGCCCATTCTCTATGACCACCTGGGGGTGCTCTTCCCCTCTGCAGAGCTTAAGAACCCAGGCAATGACCAAGGAGACAAGGTGAGCATATTGAAGAAGGTTCAATGGATCTTCCTCTTGAAAAATGTTGACAAGGTAAAACATTTTTCTAGTTCATCTGAGCGTATTTTTTATCAGCTTCACCATATCAGAGTTAGGTTAACTGTGGTAAAGCTGATAAAATAAATATCTGATGTGGGCTTTTTAATGTGTGAAAAGGTTGTCATTACCATCATCACTGGACTGCCAGGAAGTCATAAGAAGAGACTGTGCAACTTCCTGGTCCAGCTGAACAAGGAACGTGGCAGGTCAGAGAGATTTCATCTAACAAGGTTTCATTAGTTCACTACATGTAATATTTTTTGCCTTATCATTTTTAATCATATACAGTCACAAGAAAAAATAATGGAACTTTGCATTTTCCTGGTTTTCTGCATAAGATAGTAATGAAATGTTATGTGATCTTCACCAAAGTCACAAATAACAATCACAGTATTTCTAAGCTGATAAAAGACAAACAGTCATGATCTCTCATGTCTTTATTGAACACACCCATTAAAATACAAAGTGATGGTGGAAAAAGTAATGGCAGCACCTGATGTCACTAAACATCAACAGGAGTCGGGTGTTGGCAAACCTGGAGTCCAGTCAATGAAATGAGAATGGAGGCATGGTTTAGGGCTTGCTACACTTATAAAAGCACTCAAACTGTGTCAGTGTGCTGTCCACAAGCAGCATCAGCTGATGTGAGCCACGGCCTCGCAAAAAAGATCTTAGAAGACCTACCTACAGTCAAGAGTTGTTGATTTGCATGTACATGGAAAGGGTTGCAGAGACTGATCATGAAATATTGTCTTTGGTGAAGATCAGATCACGTTCCATGACCAATTTATGCAGAAAACCAGGAAATTGCAAACGGCGCCATTACAGTTTCTTGTGACTGTATGTTTTAGACAAATGTCTTTTCATTTGCACTTTCAGATGGGTTGTGTACGAACCTAGTCCTGATAGCTGCAACAGCTTCTCAGCCTCTCATCTTCAGCGATATTTGTCCAGCTTTCTGAAGAGCCAGAGAGGGCCAGGAGGCAAACCCCGCTTGGTGGTGCTCACACCTGGGTAAGAAAGCCTACTGATCAGCTCGATACAGCTGGAAACCAGGAAGTCAAAACACATCAGCTCCTTTCACACCTGGGTAAGAAAGCCTACTGATCAACTCGATACAGCTGGGAACCAAGAAGTCAAAACACATCAGCTCCTTTTAGATGTGCATTAACAGATGAGCACATTCAAGATGATGATGATTTCATGTGTATAGTAAAGAATATTAAGGTAAAAGTAAACTAAATGAAAACTGCTGTTGCTTTGACAGACTGATGAAGCCAGCACAGTTACATATCCAATGTCTGAAAAGCGCTGTCCAGTAGAGCAGAGCTGAGATAAATGGAAACATTTCCTTCCAAAAATAGTGTGAAAACAGTGCAATCTGAGGTTCATCATTCAGAGTCTCCAGTTATAGTAATTTCATCCTAGTACATAAAACAGGTCTTAGCATCTGTACTTTCTGAGATATGTTGAGATATTCAAACCCAGTAACGGACAGTATTTGAGGACATTGGAAAAAGACTTAGTTAACTGACTGTTCTTTGTTTTTATGTGACAACATTTACATTTGTAAATATTTTTAACAGATACACAGATGTTCTGGATGTTGTCCAGGCTGTGCTTTTCCATCCTGAGCCAGTTGTCCAAGCATGCTTCACCATTGGCGCTGTCACGGCCTGCGTGGACCCCCACACCTCCTGTATGGAGCACAGGTGAAATTCTTGTCTCCGGAAGATTGGCTGTGAATTCTGTGCTCCATGTCTCACATTGTACACAAGAAAAGTTGTTTTTGTTTGTTTTGGTTTTTGCTGTGCAACTTAAAATGAAGACATTTTGAATTCAACTGTAAGATAAAATCAATGACCTAATTGATAAAAGATGAATGATTTAATTAAATCCCCTTTTGATTCATATGCAGCCAGTTTACTGACTTGGTAGCACATAGTAAACTTGGCAGCCGCTTCACAGTAAATGCCTTCAAGCAGGGCTGCCTGTTTTTGGCAGTGTTTTTACCAGACTCCCAAAGAGTGAAAGGCTGTTACTCAGAAGCATTGGTGTAAATTCAGTTTGCATTATCAGCATTTTAACAGATACTTCAGCAAAAATATATCCAGTGAGTAGAAAATACGCTCCACCTGCAGAATTGCAGTTACAATGGATTTGGTGACCCAGATTCACAACAGCAGCAACCAAAAAAAAAAAAAACTTCTTAAATCACGCCTGCACCACAATCCACTCGTCTGCTGTTTGTTTGCTTTGTATGACCCTGAAACTACCATTAAAACATGCCATTAAAAATAGCTTCCATCTTTATGTAGCAGAATTACCTGCTTACATTTTTGTCTGCAGGCAGTGTTGGTAAAAGTAGCTGCACCAACAAAGATGGGCTGCTACCAACAAATGGTAGTTGTATTTTTAGCGATATTTTAGATATTTTAAACACTAATCTGAAATTGGAGGTGAAAGTTTGACTCAGTTCAGTTTTCAGGTAACATATTGACAGACGGGGCTGGATGTTGACATACTGTTGAAGTATTGGAGGCTTCCAGGATGACGTACCATGACGCTTATGGCTATTAAAAGTCACGGCTGGATCCCTTTTACAGAAGAGATCGGTCCTGCATTTAATCTCACTCTCCTTTTGTTACAGGCTTTAGATGTATCTTACAGAGCTTCTCACTGCCACAGATTGACTGAGCTGCTCCCCACAATATGACATACCACTCTGGTAAATAGGCTGTTTTCCACTGCAGGGCCGAGCTGGGCTGGCCAGTGATGCTTAGATACAGATGAAGTCAGTTTACAAAGTCTAGTTTTTACAACATGCTTGGAAAACCACTGCTGTCTTTCTTCACCAGGCATTTAATTGAAAAGCAAGTAGGTGTTGCAACAAATACCCCGTAAGCAGCTGAAGTATAATAAGTTTTCTCTGTACAGTAACATTCATAAATACTTGAGCATAGGGAAAACGTTTTATTAGGAAAACATCTCACAGGTCAAGGTGATTGTCTCACCAGCTAAGTTTTAATAATAAATCTTGAATGTGTTTTGGATCCTCTGTTGTATACATTTAGTGATGACCCTCCAGTAAAACCCTCATAAGCCCTACTTGGCTCAGCAGTGGAAAATGTATAATAAGAGGTTTAGTTTAGCAGAGTGTTGTGACTTTTCCATTTGAGGCATCTTCAACAAGCCCCCTCTCTGCGTATGGAGGTCTGCAGACCCCTGCTATGGCGCTAATTGGGTGTGGTTAGCCAAGCTTAGGCATGACCTGCTTGTCACCCCCTTCAGTATAGCTCTCTAATCCCCCAGATCCACATGTGTGACCAGCACACCAGTCTGTCATGATCCATTCTTTGTGATGGATGTAGACAGTTGATTACATCAGGAGAGGAAAGATATAAATGCCTTTCAAATGGCTGATTCTCCAGGCTTCCTAAGAGCTGCAGGGGAGAGTCTTTGGTGGCCAGAGGGGCACTTGGCTCACAATGGTTATTTAGAAAGTGGTGTATAACACCGATCAATTCAAATACTCATGATAAATTACGTTAAGATTTAATGAGATTAAAGAATGCTTTTACATTGGTCAGTTGCTAGTCACAGTCATGATGTCATCCCATGAAAAATGCCCTAGAATGGATAATTGGATTGTTAGCTAAGTACCATAACACAGAATTACCTTGTTTATTGCTGCCCAACTTTGACAAGCACCCATTAGTCATAAATAGAGTTATTGTTAGAGGTGATATTGTGGAAGAACACTTAAAGAGGACTGTTTACTTTAGAATTTAAAATACAGCTCATGTATGTGGGGCAGTGGTATCATAAAGGTTGAGAAGTGGGCTTGTGACTGGAGGGTTGCTGGTTCAATCCCTGAATTGACAGGTGGCAAAGCAGCACTTGTCTCACCCTCATTGATTTGATTTTTTTTATTTGATTTGATTTATTCTTTCAAGCATGTAAAGACAGTTGATATATCAACACACATATCCAACAAATGTTAATCCAACATCAATGTGCTTATACCTAGTACATGCTTGAATGGAGTAGGAAGAAGTAATTAATCATTAAGCCTGTTCTTACATATATCTTGATTGACACATACCTTTATATTTATCTTTAAACTCGTCAATTCTATTACTATTTTTTATGTCCACACTTAAATTATTCCATAGTTTTACCCCACTTATTGAAATACAAAATCTTTTTTTGGTTGTACGTATAACATGAATTTTTAAATTTAACTGACCCCTTAAATTATATCCCCCTTCCCTTTCATTAAATAGTTTTTGAATTCCACCAGGTATTCATCAACACCACTGTGGTGCCATTGAGCAAGGCCCTTAACCCCAGCTGCTCCCATGGAGCTGCTCAGTGGCCACAGGTCAGTCTGTGGTTGTACTGTGCAGCTTCCAGGTATGAATATGATCCCTGTCCCTGCAAAAGAGAGGTGGCCTTTCAGTGGACCTAGGAGTCTGGATTAAAAAATGTATCACTCAGTTATGTCACATTATTTTCAACAACACAGCAGTGACCGTCTCAGCACCCTTTATTCAAGTATACTGTATATTTGACTTAAGTTTTTCTGCCTCTTGTCTCTTCACTTTAGGTTTGCTTTTCCTAAGCTGTTGGAGCAGTGCAGCCAAGGTAAGTCCTGTCTGTTGCACTGTCCTACCCACCACATGCCCAACAGCAAAATACCTTCCAGGATCAAATTCTTTCATGGAATACTGAGCAAACTGCACATTATAATTCAGTAATATAGGGGTTTTTTTGTAATGTGTAATGCACTGAGCTGTTCAACTTAGCCAATCCAAACATATGTCATGCTGCCAGGTTATATTGCAAATCTGTGTGATTTTTGCCAAATTAAGTCAGAGAAAAATAAAATAATAATAGTCCTATTCTCAGAGCACAGTAGCATATCAGAGATTCAACACAATCTCCCAGTGAAGAAGTAATATATAATATGTGCAACAATTTTTTGATGTGTGAAATATGCTGCAATGCCAGCCATCCTCCAGAAGCATCATCTTTGACTGGTTAAACATGTGAAATTGGAACCTACTGTATAATGAATGTATTACCCAGGGTCATTGTGTTTTTGTTGTGCACCTTTGAATATTATACATTTCAAATAAAAAGTCCAATTTTTAGTGGTTAACCCATCCTACAGCTCTTCTCCACCACCTCTGTAACAGCACAATGGCCCTTTTTGTTCTTCAAGGTTTTAGGTAAAGTTGAATAGTGTTATTGTAATATGAAAACATACAGACTCAACAAGCAGTGGCTGGTCCTCGTCCCAGTCATCACAGTGTGCACAGTCCATCCTGTATTCTGACCTGACCTGTTGAGAACTTTTATTGGGTTTACCGATATCATTGCTATGTTTGTTACTGGAATGAGAAGATCTAAATTTGGGCAGCAGGGAGGGGGAAGTCTGGGTGGCACAGTTTAATGTCACAGAATTCCTTTTTACTTCTGTTGCTTTTTACCAGTTGTTTTGAAGGAATCTGAATGTCAGTGTCCATAATGCCTTCATCCTGCAGGCAGAACACAGCAGCACTAATGCCAGTAAATCACACCTGGTATATGGTATTTCTGCAGTGGGTACATGTTGTATTTTCAGGAAAGTGAGACAGATTCTCCTGGAATTTATATTCCCTTTTTGTGCCTTGTCGTATGTCAGGTATTGTGAGTACAGTGGTGTTCACCGGGTTGACAGCAGAGCAGAAGCACCCTCTCATGCAGCATGTTCAGCAGTTGGTACGCTCTGCCAACCCCACTGCAGCCTTCATACAGGCAGAGAGAGGAGCTGTCACCAGGTAGGCACACACAGAATCATGATCAATGCCGCACAGAGTCATTTAACTGCTTTTATCGTAGCCTCAAATATCCACTCTGGACTCCATTTTATTCCTTTTTTTTAATCTGTGTGTGAATCTGTTGGGTCAGGTTACTGCTTAATTAGCAAAGGAATGTGTTGTGAACATTTTCCATTGCATTCTGTCCTACTTTAGATTTCATTGTTGTAATTAAAAGCCTAATAGAGATGGAAGACGTTTTCATGTACTTATTCTATATTTTAATGCCGTATTTGCATATGTTTCTAGACTTGTTAGTTGAGTAAACTCTGTTTTCTTTATTAGGAATGAAGATGTGAACCTCATACTGTCTGAGAGCAGCTTCAATGAGCCACAGATGCTGAGAGCACGTTATGTCCTCTACCCTGGATGGTGAGATCTTCATCCTATGTTCCACTCTACTGGTTGTGACCCCCATGTGTCCACACCCAACCTTTTGGCCGCAACACATTGGTGCTGATTCCTGCCTCAGCGTGCCTTAGCCCTGCCTCGCCTCCCTCCCAGTGGTTTAATTGCCACTCAGCTGCAGTGGTGGGGGCATCGGCTGCTGATTGCTCTAAAGCCCTTCAGGGCATCTTGTGTTCTATCAGCGGCTGCTTCCTGGCAGCACAGTAACAAGCTGTTGGCCATGCAGTTGCCATGTACACAGAGGGGTCCCCTTCCCTTTTGGATCTGGTCCATTCAGCCTTCACGCCTTAATGGTCAACCTAATATGAACCCCCTGCTAAATCCTCCCCTCAGATGATGTACTCGATATCTGGCCAGAGTCTGGTCCATGTGATTCACTCAACTTCAAGCTGTAATTTGTTTGTAGTGTGTGTGAAACCTCTCACACATTCTCAGCTTTATGATGAAGACAGGAATCTTTTTTTACCCACTGAGAGAATTTCTAAATTAACAGATTTGTCATCCACTTCCACAGTTTTACCAGCAAATCACATACACTGGCCTCTTTCCTGTGAGCAGCTGGTAGAGCAAACAAGTTTGCAGCCAAAGACAAAATGTCGCACAAACTTTTGGCTTGCTCTAGACTTCTCACCATTTGTGTGATGTGAATGTGTTCTGCGCTTCAGGTGCAAAGGGCGCTTCTTCACTGGTTCTGGGTGTCTGGTCCTCGCCCAGCAGCGTGTGGCCTTCAGCCGGCCCCTAGAGAGGCCTCTATTTACCACCCGCTGTAAAGGTGAGATGGAAACAAAACCTTCCTCCATTTTTGACCCTTACACATGTCAGAAGCTTGAGATACGAGTTGGCAGGGTTTGATGATGATTACATAAACTGCTTTTCCTTCCAAATATGGAGACAACTGAGATCTCCATGTAATTGTCAGCTGTGCATTCTAAAAGGATGCACTTATGACATCTTGCCGCCGGTTTAATTTGAACTATTATTGTTAAGTCCTACAGTTGGTTTCACAAAACTCTCCTAATTTTTCTGTAGCATTCAAGTCATCACTAAGACCAAGCCCCTTCCAGGGAAACGTCTACAACATTTGGGGAAAAGTCAGATTTTCTGGTAGGAATGATGTTTTCATTTTGTTCTTGTCTAATGAAATACATCGCTACTGTTACTCGCTGTTGAAAATTTCCAGATCATATTCTGAATTTCAGAGACCCTGCTTTTATAAACATTTGACCTGCATTTGCATTTCCCGGTTTTGGGAATTATTAGAGAAAAGGTTGCCCCCAAGGCAGGCAAGAAGCCCCTGACGGTAGGAATATTGCTTTGTTGTTGCTCTGGTGTCTGTTGTTTAGAATTCAGCTCATGGTCCACTGGTTTGGTTTCCTCCACATAGTTTTCTCACTCTTTGTTTCATTGGAAGACCTGTGTAGAGTTGTTGCATGAGGAGAGTGTGCAGGTGCCTGTGAGCTGATGTGCAGATATTTGGAGAGAGTTGGGAAGAGACTGTATGATCCTGTGACAAATACTCACATTCCCTTAGGGTAGCTGTACATTTACATCGTTTACATCACTTTTATTAGTTATTTTGCTTTATTTTAGTTGTTGAATTTAGCAGTTGTACATTCAGTGCATATTTTACAGTGAGTCAGGACACGTTTGACATGTTTTATCATGTTTTGTACTGTGAGTCGTGTGAGCCATCTTGGGAACCGAGCTCTGTATGAATGTTAAAACATTAACACCCCACCAACAGCATGCTGTTACCATATGGACCTGCTGTAGCAGGCATTACACTAGGTGTGAACTTTATGTTCGACTTGGATGTGAGCTCCTTCTTCTCTGGAACCTTCAGACTCAGACCAGCTGATGGAGGTGAGCTACAACACAGTGAGCGGGAGCCTGAGCATTGTCCCAGACCAGAGCACTGACCCCACGACGCCAGGCCCCACCAGCACTTCCTGCTTCCTGATCTTTGATGGTGTTGGCCTCACTGAGGATGGATTGAAGGATTGGCTCAGACTATGCGCCAAAGAGGTAGATGTTTAAAGAGCTGTGCTGGTTTTGATGGCTATACACACTGAGACTCATGTGTACTGTAGATCTATTATTTTGGGTAGAACCATTGTGCACACCCACAAGGCTGTTGTTTCTGTTGGCAGAGGCAGAAAAAGAAGCCGAAGAAGACTAAAAATATGCTTTCGTCACAAGAAATCAAAAGCATACATGTGAGTGTTTTTATTTACACCTGTAAAATTATATATACATGTGTGTCTGTGTGTGTGTGTGTGTGTGTGTGTGTGTGTGTGTGTGTGTGTATATATTTGGTGACAATGAATGTAAACATAACTCACTGTGGAGTTTTTCTTCCTCTAAGTATGCTGTCAATAAATGCCACTGTAAGAGCAAAAACATATAAAATTGTTGATGTCAGATACTCTGCTCTGTTACTTATTGTTTTAGTTCCCTCATTTTCCAAAAGAACTTGAGCCGGTTCAGGACCTGTTAGTGCTGTGGGCCTTTACAGAGCTGTAGACTCACTACTTTACATTGTAGCCAAGTGTCATTTCGTCAGTGTTGTCACATGAAAAGATATACTTAAATATTTACAAAATGTGAGGGGGTGTACTCACTTCTGTGGCATACTGTATATTTGGTGACAATGAATGTAAACATAACTCACTGTGGAGTTTTTCTTCCTCTAAGTATGCTGTCAATAAATGCCACTGTAAGAGCAAAAACATATAAAATTGTTGATGTCAGATACTCTGCTCTGTTACTTATTGTTTTAGTTCCCTCATTTTCCAAAAGAACTTGAGCCGGTTCAGGACCTGTTAGTGCTGTGGGCCTTTACAGTCAGTAGCCTTGACTGAACTTGATGTTATGTTTCTGTTTAGATGAGCAGGCACTTGGACCCTCTACCACCAGGCTATTTCTACAATGGTTATCTGTATGTGGACATCTTTGGTGAAAAAAGGAATTTCCATCCCAGTATCCTTTTCTTTTATGTCTAATGTAGAACCTGAGCTGCAGCTCATCTGTCATACTTGCTTGGAAAAGTTTCAAAAGCAGGTACAATTGTTAAACAAAGACATAACTGATACAGATATAATGAACACAAGCCAGTGTGGGTACTGAAAATCACGCTCGCTCTTTGAAGTCTTGGAAAATTAGTACAAACTGACTGTCAAATTATGATAGACGCCTGACTTTTGACCCCCAAAAAACAAATTAATGAACCATTATGCAGGTCTGTCTATATTTAGTTTTGTGAGTAGTGATTGTGCTGAAGTTTTCCTTACATTGCTGTTACTTCAGAAATGGAAGAGTTTATTACAGAGTACATTGCAGAGGCCAACAAAGAGATCGAGCTCTTCAATCGTCAGCTGGAGCTGCAGGAGCAGCCCGACCTGTTTGATCCATGATAGTATCTGTGTGTTTGTCCACTGCCCCCACCTGTTTTATTTAACTCTAAGGGAACCACTGAGGGAGGGCACAGGGGTTATGTACTAAACACTCCACTGGAATGGTCAGTGTGTGTTCACACCACATGCATGTGAAAAACTGCTGCTAGCAGTCCATTCATTATCTTTGTACTGTGACACTTTGTTTCCTAATCTGGGGGAATGAGTAGAGATGGGCCTTCGAACTGTGGCATCACCCGTCAAAAGCCACTTATGAATGGCATGGCTTATTTATACTGCAACATCACTGTGCTCGGAACAGTTGCACTTTGGTGAGTTGATATCCTACTGTATTTAGCAAAAGAAAGTGGCAAGTTGACGTGGTCATTTGTGTTCATTCAGACACATTTGCCAAGAGATGAGTTGCTCACGACTGCAGACAAATCTGAAACATGATGCAACACAAGACTCCACCTTTATGCCAGTGTGATTATCCCACTGAGCCTACAAGCTATGACACTTTGACAGTTGAAGGAAATTTCCAACTGCACTCTGCTACAGCTTGTGCATTTCTGTTTATCACAGTTGGCCAATTAATGCCTCTATTTCTGGGCAGGCATGGATAGCTGTGTGATTCTAGTGGGCTCCCTGGAGGGGTTTCTCAAGAATCGCTCCTCCTCTGTTGTCACCCAATCCACGGCCCACCTGTTTGCTTGTGTGCGTGCCACGCTGCAGCAGTGGGAGGGCTCGGTCATAGACCTGTAAACATTGGACAGCGTGTTGGCTGGGGACAACTGATGAACGATGCCATTAATCATAGTGATGCACCATCCCAGTGCTTTATTTTAAGACTCAAAGTGAATCTAATGAACATGCAATAAAGTAGACTTCAGTCCCTGCAGCAGAGTGCTGGGACTGAGTTATAAAACAGCTGTGGCTGTCCAGAAGCACAGTGAATCTCTGAGGTTGCATGTTGACCACACTTATTATAATGCTGCTAGTTAACACAGTGAGAAACCAGGTAGACATAGTTAAGCAAAGCCTCAGTGCAGCCAGGTGTGGGTCGTTCATTTCACCTTTTCGGTCAGAATGTTCCTTTGTTTATAACATGAACATTCCCATGCCTTTTTAAAATGTCTTGGGCCACTGTGTTTGGGCAAAGGGAAAAGGAGCTAATGTGGAGAAACCTTGGTTCAGTTTACTGTTTGGCTCGGTTCCTGTAAGAGTGAGTAGAGCCTTTAGTGAAGGGCTTTGTATCAGTGATGTGATGATGCAGAGAATCAGGCTCTATGTCCTGTTGAAATGAGCAGTTATGCTAGTGTTTTGCTCATGTGTCTATGCATGTCTCCTCTTACCAGAGTTCCTACACAGGTTCTGGAACTCTCTAACTTGGAAAATGTATTGAAGAAGCTAGCGGTGATTTCTGTGAACAGCCTGTGTTGTCATTTGTACAACTGCACATTCGGGTTAATTATAATCCAGTTAAATTGTAATTTGTGTTAAAGTCAGAAGTGTAGACAATGTGTAGGAGTCCAGCCACAGTCTCTGGAGATTGAATGGCTTTCATTCATCATGGGGTCAGCAGCGTAACATGCAGCCTTATTACCAGTGTCAGGGTCATGTGACGCAGGGGCTGTCATGGGTGAATTGATACTGACCAAGGAACACTTAAATGCACGGACAAGTGTGCACATATTGCTGCTACTACAATGGTATGAGATGTTACATTGGCCTTTGTACAGTACCAAAAAAAACGCATGTACTCAGTCGTGAGTCCTTTGAGATTTTTACCATGTCAGAAAAGGGAGGAAGGGTGTTTCTGCTAAGAGCATAGTGCAAGTCCATAATCTAATTCAGGGGAATTAGAGAGCAGATGCTTACTAGTGATGTGGACACTTGCTTGATTCTTATCCAAACAGCTGTTTTTAGATTGGCGATGACCTCGGTGTATTTTGGGTTGCCATTCATCACACTGGCTGTGTAATGTTTTTACATGTCTGTGTGACCGCACTGTCAACTGCTAGTAAATTTGGAATAATCAGTGATTTTTGTTTTCAGCAGCAGACAACATTGTTAGAAAGTTATTTTCCCCCAGATAACATTTGTGTGCCATGCAGATTCAAATGGTCCTGATCCTGAACGCAGCCCGACACTGCTGGCCCCATTCATCCTCTCGGTAGAGTCGAGCCACACCAAGCTAGATGCACTGTCTTTTAGCAGAATAACGTGTTGCATAGAATAGCACATTGCATAGCAACGAAGTATGCCTCTAACATGTATTACCCTGGCGTGTTCCAGATAGTCAGCGACAGGGGTTCACATGGAGAGGAAGAGCTCACCCCACGCTGCTCATTCCTTACAGTCCTTCCCTTTTACTCTATAATAGAAGTGCAATTGTACCTTGTGTGTTTTTATATATTCTACTTGCAGTAGCCTCCGATAGCTCTTTAAGGACAAAGCTGAGCAAACAAATGAACTGATAAACCCTCAGTCTCTCTCAGCTTGTAGTGCTTGTAGCTCACTTAACTCCAAAAAGGGTCTTAACAACAGAACAGTTTTTGTTTTTGTAAAATGAAAAAAAGCATTACCTTGACTAAGAAATGACTGGACATGATGCAGAATGTGTGTATCTTTAATAGATACACTTAGCTAATACAGTCCTGAAATAGACCCAATCTTAATACGTGACAAATCCTTTGTGGACACAACTCTTGGTTATGATACATCCACTTCAGAGATGCACTCACTAAAGCCGTTGTTTTAAGGAGCTGTTGCTGACATTCTGTGGTTATGTAATACTGCAGAGAGTTGTCTTGATTGACAGTGAAATAGTCGTGAGGCCAATGTATGGGAGACTGACGGTGCCATGAATTGAAACCTGCTCCACAGAGCAGAGGAAGTGAAACCATAATTGGCTGAGAGATCAACCAGCAGTCCTTAAAGAGCTGAGGATTATGTAAGATGTTTGTGATATTTAAATCAGATTACCACTAACACACTCACGTTAACACTACTACCACTGCAAATATGTCTACTCTGTTTTGCATGTGTTGAGATGTCGTGTGAATATGATACCACATATATTCTGACAAAATTGCCTTTCACCAAACTGGTACAACAAAGAAAATAATTATTTTACATATTTGGTAAGAATTTGAATTACCTCGAGACAACAAATTGTATTTTTATAGGACAGTGAATTGAACACTAGATGCAAGCAAAAGATCTCTCACACAAGCTACAAGAAGCAAAAGCAGATGCCGTTTTTTGTAGTAAAATAAAACTCTAATAAAAAGAGAATCTGATGGGTTGTGAGACGTCAGGTTTCTCTGATCCAGCAGTGCCTTGGCTGTGGCTATGAAAAGCAGAGATTAAAGCTGCATTCAGAGCTCCATCCCTCTCCCTGTCACAGGGGGAGCACGTGTTGTCAGGCGAGGAGCCGTCCTTCAACAGTGTTGGTGAAAGGAATCCATGGAGTCATTCTTTAAAGCAGTGTGTTTTTACTAGGCCAGAGGGTAACGTGGGCAGGGTCACACAGGGGAGTGCCAGTGGAGGGCTGCTCAGGTGTTCTTTGCAAACTAACCAAAAACGTGCTGGGAAATGGGCTGCGTACCACAGTACAGTTATGATACTTGAAAGTCATTTGAGTTCACATTGCTACATTTCTTGGGGGCTTATTTTGCTTTACTGTGCGAGTAACAGACCAAAATTTCAGGATTTCCTTTTAGAGACTCTCCATACAGAGGAAAGCTGCGTTCCTGGGTTTAGATACTTTAAAATCAACATCTAAAATGTTTTAATGCCCAGCCCTAGTCGACCCCTACTTTATTGCACACTGGGGGCTCAAAGAGCCCTCCACATGTCTCTGAGTGTGACTGCTACACAGCTCTCTGGCAAGCTGAGCACCCTGGTGTCTTCATCCTGTATGTGGGGGCCATCCTTGTCTTAGCTGAAGTTATAGGACAAAAACAAAGTTTGGTGTTAATTGATTTTATATAAAATGATGTTAATGCGCTGCAACGTGAAAACGCAGTGTGAGGGGTTTCTTGTTTTCTAGTTTTGAAGATTTGCTCCGGAGCTCATAAGGACCAATAATGTGGAATGTATGCACTTCCTGAAGAAGTGGATATTTTTATGGCATTTTGTGCTTATTGGAGAAAGGCGACTTGGAAATGGACTTTAACTGACCAAATACTTCTCAGGCCTCAGGGGACTGCTGACATTAATTGCCCTTCACCTCCAGGTCCTCGCAGACAGCGAGACAAATTTTCTCAGGTGTTCTTCCCGTTTCCATACCTGAGATTATATATTTGCTCTATCAAACTCCAGTGTTATTGAAGAAGATCAGGTCAAAATTGCAGTTAATATCATCTGTCTGCAGCCACATGCTGGATGCACAGTTGTGTATTAAAAGAAAGGATGTTGAAGTTGGGAGGTGTTTGATGTCATGATGGTAGAATTAGGTCTGAGGAAAAAGCAAAGGGCTCCTTTCTATTCCCCTGTCTACAGGCTGTTAAAAAAAAAGAGAGGGGGGGGGACAAAAGCATTTTGTGGCCTCTATTGTGATGAGAAGCAACAAAAAGTGCCAAACTGACTTCCACATTTTGTTTTAAGGGTGTTCACGGAAAGTGAGCAAAAGTGAATTACATTTGCACAAAACTACTGTAACTTCTGTTTTTTTCCTGTGACTGATGCTTTTATACTCCAGTTGTTGTATTTCTTGCTCTGCATTATCCATTAAATATTTCTACAGTCGATTTAATGTTTGTCCTTCTTCACATAATGCAACATTTAGTCCTTTAAATTTGGCTCAACAGCCCTCCTTCGGCCACTGTACTTGGATTGTGTGATAACTGTTTTCCTGTCAGATGCCAGCAGACACTAGCCAGTTTAGCATAGTAGTGGATTTGTCACTTGGTAGGACAACATTGATTTACTGTGCATTCAAACCTTGTATCAGCACCAACTGAGGTGGAGAGCTTTCTATTATTCGGACTGTGAGAGCCAGACTAAACAGAAACTGTCTGCACACAGTGTGTAAAAAGCGTGTGTGATGTTGCTGTTCAGCCACTGTCGCACTTTGTTAAAGAGAAACGACAGCTGAAATAGTGCTGTGACCGTGTGAGGAATCCTACCCCACATAGCACAGTTACAGCCCTCCATTTCCTCATCTTGTACTCTTATGTGTGTACATAATCTTTTTATGGTTGTGTGTGCAAATTTAATTCCATACATCCCTGTGTGGCCACTGCAGCATTGTGAGGACATTTAGGCTGGTCCTCACAACCTCAAAGGGCTGTCTGAGGGTTCAGGTCTGGTTTCAGGGTTAAGGTTCAATCTGGGTGGGGTTATGGAGGGATTAGACATTCAGTAGTGATGGTCAATGTCATCGAGTGTCCTCACAACTGTGGAAAATGTGTTTGAGTATAGAGTCTGTGCGTGTCCTTGTATTGTTGCCAGGCAGATAGTCGTTCACATGGCTAACCTCTGACATCCCCCATCGGCTCAAGTCAGTACCCCCCCACCCCCCACCCCACCCAACCAGATACACTTAGCACACTTGAAACGTGCTCTTACCATATCGCCTCCACCATTAACCACACCTTTTCTCCTCCCCGCCCCTCCATTGTTGTACTTGTACTGAGGCAACGAGTTCAGGCTATTTGTGGGCTGAACCACATATAAACACTCATCACTCTCACTGGCATCTGCCAGAGCCTGCTGAGTGGGTCCAGGTCACAGCAACAATGGCTCACCGTACAGTGCTGGGTCTGTGGACCTATGGGGCAGTTCTCTTTCTTACACCAGCCTTGACCCAAACTTAAACTGTCCCCAGAAATGAACTGTTTTTACTGCATGGGACAACAGTTATGAATTCGTGTTCTTGACCCTGACATACTGTACATTTAGCTCCCAGTTTGATAGATACACCTAATACAGTCCTGAAACAGACCCAGTCTTATTGAAGAGTATAATGTTTAGTTTACATCGGTGTTGATTCAACTTTATAACTATTCTGCTGTTCTGTTTTATTGTGTAATGCATACTGGTGTTTTGATTATTTTGTCCACCTGTGTAGGCAAAATAGCAGAACCATCACTAATACTGCCCCACAGTACAGCACATCCCCCAAAACCCAAACATTATAACCCCTGTTAAAATAGGATTTGTTGCAGGTTTGTTTATATTAGGCTGTGTTACATTAAACCAAGCACTTTTTTCCAGACTAGTTACCAGTTATTGATCGCTAGTTTATATTTCTAAACTTTCTCAACCCATAACAATGTTTTACATTTTAACAGTTTAAAGTTCTACTCAGAAACATGTTTGAAGATCATTGATGGTCCTCATGATATTGTACTGTAGAAACAGTGACTGTTGAAAAGCGAATCATCCAGATTTTGTTTTCACAATATTTTTATTACATGCCGTTTGACACCCATTGTTCATTATGCTGATTTCTCATATTATAGCAATGCACAAAGGCACACTTGATCAGCATGACTGAGCACCATTGTCAATCTTGAAAGGTTCTTTTTACTGAATATTGCCAAATAATAGCTTTCAAATATCCATCCATCCATCAGTTATACCACCCTCTACGCTATCCTGTAGAGCAGGGGTTTTCAGATAGTTATGACCACCATTCTGAGTCAGAAGTAACTTGACCTTTATTAATGTTATACAGTATATTTGCATGAATTTGGTTATTCACAAGTAACAATTAATACATGGAAATTTCTGTAAAAAATAATAAATAAGAGTAATTCCTACAGTGAAACTATATTCTTTAATCCATGGTCAGAGACCACCCGCTATGCCTTTGCAGTCTACAGACCACTGGTTGAAAACCCCTGCTATAGAGGGTCCTTGGGGCTGGCAACACTGAACAATAGGCGGGGTACACCCTAGACAGGTTGCCAAGCTCTCATGGTTGACACCAGAGTACCCAGGAAAAGCTTACACAGGCACAAGGAGAACATGCAAACTCCACACTGGAAGGACCCATTGACCACCGGATTCAAACCTGGAACCTTCTCACTGAGAGGCAGCAGTGCTAACCACTGTATCACTGGCGCAGCTTTCAAGTAAACCTCCCAAAAGTAAGTTTAGTATTGCATTCATATGATTTCATTGCTACAAAGTTAACATATTCAGAAGATCATATTTCAGATTGAATTTTCATACAACTTATTGTGACTGGCAGCAACTTGGCTCAGTCTGTATCATACTGACACTGTTAAACCTGAAATATTACTGCTCACAGTTTGAATTATTTGCAAATATTTCCAACCCAAATCTGATTTGCATTAGTCCATCTCAGTTAACAGCTATATTCAGAAGCATATTCATCTGGTCTTTGCCAGCCTTTTAGTTTCACACTTCTCTGTCCAACTGCTCGATGTCAAAGGTCATCAAAACAGCCAAGTCACTGGCCTTCCCTGACGAAGCAGCCAGCTTCAGTTGCTGGAGACCATTTCCACTGAAAACCTCACCCTCCCAGATTCTGCTCTTGTTTAGTTTCAGATCAGTCCGTGCCTCTCCCACCACGCTTACTCTCTGGACCCCAGGGACTCTCACCCTGAAGCGGACCCAGGAGAGGGGCTCCAGCAGGCCTACACGAGGCTCAAAGAGCACACAGCCTTTACCCCAGGCTGCGTAGACACAGGGGAATGGAGGCATTGGCTCACTGCAGCTGTTCCTCAGAACAAAGTCACACATGGGGTTGAAATCACTACCAGGGGTGGTCATGGCGTATAGGCCGAGCCGATACATGCCAGCCTCAGGGAGGCTGACGCTCACCGTCACCTTGGTGTCTGTGTATGTGCAGAACAGGTGGCGTGAAAGTGGAAAAGCCGTTGTTTTGTTCTCTTCTCTGCTGAGCACAGTATGAAGCTTGAGGTCTTGATTGTTGTGGAAGGTAATGTTGCACTTGCCTTGATGTGTGCTGACCAGTGCAGTTGTGTGGCTGAATTTGCACAGCCCTGCCTCTGATGTTCGGGTTCCTGGACCACACACTGAGCTCAGGTTAGGAGGGAAGAGTTCATCCAGTCCCACCACCTTCCCTTTGCAGTGTAACAGGAAGTTTGCAACATTCTGGAACTTGTCATCTGTTTTCTCATTGTCCCGCACAAACACTGACAGCCGGTAGAAGCCACGCAGTGGACACAGGGCTTGGCACCTCAGTACATCTGGCTGAACCTGGGTAACCAGGCAGCGCTTGGCTACAGCAGCTTCCAGCCCTGGGTGGATCAGTTCACACAGTGCCATCAGAGGCCTGGATGTTTTTAACGCCAACTCAAAGACACCTTCTTCCGCCTCAGCAGCCTCGCTGCCCTGGCTGCTTCCTATGATGCCCAGAGATCCTGCAAAAGACTGCAGGCCCCAAGACATGAAGGGGTTCTCTGGGATCTCCTCCATGGCCCGGGGCATTGGACACTCGACTATGAAGGAACAGACCCAGACCAAAGGTGTGGTGGCCATTTCAGGTCTGGCAAACACCTTCACATCATATATGCCGCTTGCAGGAGGCAGCAGCTGCAGCTTCATGCTTCGATAGGAAACGGTTAGGAAGCCGAAGGAGGAACTGATGGACTCTTTCTGCTCTGAAGCTCCACAGTGGAGGAGGTCCTGGTGCTGGGTGATCTCATAGGTAAAGGTGACAGGTCTGGGGAAGCCCAGGGACACATTTGCTTCACCATCATCTACAAAGGAAATCCAAAGGGGATTTTTTAAATGCTTTTTAAACATTTTCTTTTACTGAAATGAGAGAAACTAATGATTGATCACAAACAATGGGATGGCAAGAAACCTTAAGTATTTATACTTCTCTTAAATAAGCATTTTATCAGTCTTAGACAAAAACTATATAGATAATTGAATTTTTACAATACTTTTAATATTTGCACCACCTTTTGTAAAATCAAGACAACGTAGGGGGGCAGACCTGTGATGATGTGAAAGTGATGAGGCTGAATCAGCCTGAGCCCCATGGTGAAGAAGGCCGAGGTCTTGAAGACCTTTCTCTCAAACTCCTCCAGGGAAATGGGCCTGTCCAGGAGCTGCCATTTCTCCTCGTCGGGGAAGTGTGAGTCTATGAACTCCTCTGGGTCCGTAAGGAAATAGAAATCATCAAACCTTGGAGGCAACAGATGGAGACAGCAGACTTGTTTGAGACTGCTGGTTGCAGGTGTATGAAAATAAACAGTAGCAAACTTGTCAGGCTTGCAGAGCTGTTGTGGAATTTGCAGTGCACAAAGGATTAAGGATGCGAATTGTCTGGACTCTGGTTGGGCTTATTTTATAAAACATTCTCCACTGAATGGTGAAAATGGTGGAATAATTCTTTAATCACTTTTCCTTTTTCAGACCTTTTAACGAAGCTTTTATGTTCCATATCAACTCGTCCTGCTCCCCAACAGGCGTCCAATAGGAACCACTGTCCCCCCAGAAGCACAGCGTTCCACAGGTGATCGGATTTCACATTCTTGAGGCTCTGGCCCGGGCGGTACCCGATTCCCTTACTGTGACCTGGCACTTCTTCACACTCGATGCCCACCTCTCTGTAAACACAAACCAAACAGAGCATGTTCACTGGCTTTTGTTTTATATTGTGTCCTTAAACTCAGCTTGTTGCTATGCTGAGATTCAGTCACATTATTTACACTGGAAATAGCTTGAACTCACAGGGGATTGAAACTGCAGAATGCAGCACAATGTTGAATGAACGGATGGAGAAGTGGAATAGAAGGAGCTCATGTTGTCTTTGAGTGTATACTGATTTTTAAATGAATGAACAATGTGCAGTAACATGGATTCATTTTGTGCTCTATGTTTTTCTCTGTTTTCAGGGAGGTTATGTGACTGTTTTTTTATTTTTTCAATGTCAGTCTTGTCCAACAGATGATGAATAACACTAATATAAGAATTCTGAATACTGTAGATGTTGAACACACACTTATCGCCTGACGCTGCAGTCCCTATCTGCGTCGCATTTTTGCATCTCTGAGCTCACTGTTTTGGTTTTCTGGCTCTCAAACCTGACTTTCACCGACCTTATTTCCACTTTGGCTGGCAAAAATGGTCTCATAAACCCTCTGTACACTACCTGCCCAGCAGATAGGCAAATAAAATAATACTTAAGTACAGGACTTGAGTAAATGTACTTAGTTACTTTCCGCCTTTGCGATTAATTAATGCTGATGTTGCTCTGTGTCTGCTGGATGCATAAAACATGTTAACCATAACGGCTTTATAAGGTGATATGTGAGTGTTGTGTTTACAGCATCTTCATGGTTTCTAACTCAGTTTTCAAGGAGTAGTACAACGGACAAAAATACGGGTGCCCGAACGGTGGGAATAGCCCGTTTGGGAAATGGTCACCAGTCATGTGAGGTGTGTGATTTTTAGTAAAAGAGATTAAACCTTAGTCTGCACAAATGTATATCTGCTGTACCTGTGCATGTGGCTGGAGTCTAAGACAAAGTTTTTGTATGTACCTGCACATCTCTGTGCAGAGGCTGGAGTAGCCGGAGCACACACCCCGACCGGCCGCAATCACCTCCTCTGGGGAACTCAGTTTCTCTGAGCTGCCGAGGTACCCGCTCACATCATACTCTGTAGGGAGAACACACATTGAAGTACAGACTAAGGTGTACATATAGCATCTGCTCTTAAACACAGATAAACCACAAGCTGTAACATCCATGATGCTAGTATGTATACAGTATGCAAAGGTGTGTAGCTCAGTAAGGGTCACCAATGTTGTGGCACAGCCAAAGCCAGATGGCACGAAGCCTCTCCAGCTCATTTCTGGCTCCGTGTGTGATTCTCTGTACTATTGTCTTCACATCGTACACGCGCTTTTCCTTCAGCTGCAACACACACACATACAGAAGTTCACTGTTAGGTAACGTAGGCTTTTACAAGTAAGTAAAGCATCCAGAGATGAGGGCTTCATGTTTTCACATTCAGTCAGCATCAAAACTTTTATGTAAACCACTGTCACAGTTCTTATACTTTTTTCCCATCATCTCACAGCATCGTCCTATTTGCCAGGATTTTTCAGTGTCACTCGGTGTATTGAAACAACCAGGTTATGTTCCGTGCTCAAGGATGTGACTGCTGCCTGGGAGTGCTGTGTTTGCTATGCTTTTGTTGCAGTGGATGTGTAGGTGTTGTCATTCCTGCACAGCTCACAAACACAAAGAGCCTTCTCTGCTGTGGTTTTGCTTTTGTTTAGTTTATGTGGCTGTTTTTTGGATCCTGCTGCAGATGTCCTCGTATTTGTCTGGCCTGGCTAACCCAGCTGGCTCTTTTAACTTAGATGAAGTAAAGGAATAGGCTGGTTGTTCTGTGAAGTTTAACAAGTGAAACATGAAGTGGTGTAGTCACTGTTGAACGTAAAGATTCTGATTTGAACAATAAGCCATGAATGGCAGGTAAATTTGTAATGTGGCCAGCAATAGTAAAACTATTAGCACTTGTCCTCCTGTTTTATATTACTGTGGCATATGCTGTGTAAGAGCCCTCACCTCTGCTCCCGTCCTGATGACATGTGTATCAACCCTATGGAAGACCTCAGAGCTGGTGAAAAGGTCTTTTTGATGCCTCCTCTTCCCTGTTGCTGTAGTGCATGATGTCACCTTTTGTCCCAGGTGTGCTTTTGCTTTCTGGTGCCTCTGCTCCTCTGCCTCCTTCCTCACTGCGCTCTTCTTCACCATTGTGATGGGTCTGGCTGCACTTTCAGATGACAGCTGTCTCTTTGCAACAGGACGTTGATCCTCACTCTCAGCAGTCAGTTTCTCAAACATGCTCTGCCTGGGGAGCACGGCACCCTGGGATGCGTCTGTACAGGCCAAGACCTGGGCAGCTGGAGGCTTTGGACTCCCCTCAGCCTGCTTCTCATTATGGACTAGAGCTCCTATAACTGCAACAGTGTTCAGTTTGTTTAAGACTGGATTCTTCTGGAAGGCATGAAGCTCCAGGGCCTTCACCTGTACACATCCCTCCTGGGTCACCTCATCTTGCTGGGAAAGGCGTGCAGCACAGGAGAAGGGGAAGGAGAACTTCTTAATTGCAACTTCAGCTGACATTATGCTGGAAGCATGACGTCCTAACCAGAGAGAAAGTAGACACTATTCAAAAGACAGCAGCCATTTTCTTTGAGCTATTTTTAGTTTACCCCCTTGAGCAGGTAAGGCCTCAGTACCTTAGTCGATAGCCTAAAATGAGGCACATGGCTGCTTTGGGAGCCTTTCACATTAGATCCATATGACTACTGCACATGCTGCACTGAGTGAAGCAGAGCGTATATTCTATATGATACATTCTGTGTAAGACAGTGATGAATTACTAGTTATGTCACATCTATGACCATAAATTAATGCAAAGGTTAGAATCATTAGTCACTGTCAGCGCTAACAGTGCAAAGAAGATCAAAGCCCTCTCCAGATCTGTATGACCTTCTAACTTCCTGTGTGTGATAAACCTGCAAATTGATAACTGTATTCAACATAACATTAGTGAACATATTTTGATTGAAACTTGGTAATCTGTTGAAAATGACTTGAACAGCAGGTTGGCAGAGACGAAACACCGACTGTCCTTCAACCTGATGACCTGGGTTGAAAGCCAGTGCTGGCAAGTATTTGTCCAGCTCCAGTTCCCTTAAAGCAGCCCAGTGAGTTTTGTCAGGCGGTGGGCACTGCGCTGCAGCTGACCCTGACCTCTGACCTTCCTGAACAGCGACAAAAGTGAAGGTCCCAAAGGATATTGCACAGTATTGTTCCTCATGTTGGAGTAACTCCAAGCCCAGCAATAAAACAACATTATATAATTTTTAAAAAAAAAAATTCAGACTAGTATTTATTTTCCAAAGGAAAAAGTCACTCAACATTTTCGCCTTTCTGTATCACTGATACTCCACTCAGTGTTTATGATAACTCTTAAAAATGCTAGTTTCTAATGTGTCAGGTTTACATTTACAAATGTGAAGGTGGATAACCCCAGTCTAGGGAAGGTTAATTGTAGCTACATCCCTGAGGCTGTTACTTACCCTGAGAGGAGTTTAAATGGTTGCTGGATGGTTTCAAGAGTGTCAGGCAGAGAGGTTTCCACTGTTCTCAGTGGTCCCCACTTACAGGGGGAGGCTTATATACTCTCCCAGTGGTCTGCCAGGACAGGCCCCAGAATAACAAGCCTAAAAATACTACAAAGCAGTTAAGACCAGCCAATAGAGTAAACCCTGACTGGGGAGTGTGATGTCTGAGTGTGTGTATTAGTGTGCCTTTGTATTGCTTACATTATGGGGACCGAAACCTGTGGGGACCTGGCAACATGGGTTAAGGTTAGGGTCAGGGTTAGGGTCATAAGTCTACAGGAAATGAATATAAGTCAGAATGAATGAAAACACAGAGTGGGTGTGTGCACGTGTGTGTGTGGCTTACAGATGTATGTTCTGATGTGCTTATATGTATTCTGCACATGCATTTGCTAATCAGTTCATACACGCTGCTGCACATTTGGGCACATGAGTGAGTGTGAGCTCATGAGTGTGTGTATGTTGGCATGTGTCCACACATACTGTATTGTGAATGCATGTGTTTGTATGGTGTTGATAAGCGGGGCGTTGATAAGTGGGCAGGTGGGAAGGCTGGCGCATGAGGTTGGGTGCAATGCAGTTGTGGAAGACGTTCTCAGATTCACTGGTTAAACAGAAAAGCAGACATGAAGGGAGAGTAGAAACACCGATACAGTCTTAAATGTCCTCCAAACACAGTGCAGTGTATCATCTTCTCTGTTCACCACAGGTGCTTTGAGCTGTTAAGCTCAACCAGTTCTGTGCCTTTCAAGTGCTTCTTCAGGCTGTTTTCATGCAGAGGCAGCTGAGGCCTCAAGGTTTACTCACCTTTACCTTAACTCAGTTCTGTCACTGTCATCTCCAGTGCCTTTCTGTGCATACATACATAATTACTGCAAAAAGGAACGCGGTCCTTAAACCCAGTATTTATCAAACTGGACGACCACAGAAAATGAACAGAAAGAAGGAGAACTTGTTGGGTAGTCATCATAATATATCACCCATCCAGTGCAGTATTACATAACTGCCATATGTTGGTATTGATATTGACGCATGGGGGGAGAACCGCCACCTCCATCCCCAGTGGATCCTGAGCCAGCTGGAACAGTTGTCAGCCAAGGAATCTCGCCCTGGCTTATTAGGGAGAGGGAGAGATTTGAATATTGGGATAGCAGAGAAATTAAAAATAAATCACAGCAGGCTGAAAAGGAATCATGTTAATCTGCTTCCAGGCACTAGTGAATTACTGTGGGGGGAAAAACGAGGTTCAGTTCTTTCTAAAGTCTTCACCTGGTTCATCCTAAAATTCATCAGCAACCAATGACTAGCACAGTTTAATCATAAGACAAAAATGATTTGGAATGTTTTTATCTAGAAAATGCATTTACATCAGTAATACCTAAGCATAAGAATGTATGAGCAAAGAGATTGTGTGGGTTGAGTTGGAGTTTCATGCTAACCCTACCTTATTTAACAATATAAGGTGCTGTAGATGTTTTTAGGGAAAGTCTGTAATGACAGTGGTCAAATGTAAAATAATTTAAAGCCCATCCACAATTTTGTCTAGTTTCACTTGTTAGCTTTCTGCTAAATCTCATGGCATTCACGATGCCATGAAACAGGGGCTACAGTCTTTCTGTTGTCCTGTGATCACAGTTCAATACTAAGATGATGACATTTAAAGCTACACTATCTCCAAAAATAGTTAGCAAAGTCTGCTTAGGAAGGACTGTGACTGGAAGCCCTGGGAAAAGCATGCATTAAGGTTTATGTGTGTCTATTTAACTTACTTATTCACATAGCTTCAAGCTTTATTTATGCAACATAAATTTAAAAGGGTTTTTTTTCTACACTTAAGAGTAAATAAAAGTTTAGTGGAGAAACTAAATCAAAGGCAAGGGAAATAGGATGTGAAATTTAGACTTGAAAGTAGCTGAAGTTGGGGTGCAGGTAGTCCTCGGTGAGTGCAGCCATATGCTCCTCACCGGGTTGTGACTAGAGGCACAAAAACCTGTTTCCTTGAGATCTAAGGACCTACTGGGTTTATATTCTTCAAATATTTCAGAAACATATTTTGGCCTTTGGCTGTTATGTGACTTATAAACCAGTAGGCGCACTTTGAAGTCTGTTTTACAGCTAACATGGAGCTGCTGTTTTGTGGTGAGTTGTCTTGGTTCTCATTATTCTAGCAGCAGCAGTTAAATGTTGTGCAGTTGTCTTTTGGGAAGATCAAGAAGAAGAGGGCATTGCACCCTGCTGGAGATGAAGGCGTGAATGAGTTTCTCTAAATCACACATGCACGGGGGAATTCTGATTATTGCTATTTTTAGATGATTAAAAGCTGATTCATTACTGTTCTGGTGTGGCAGCTGTACAGCGACAAAGTCCATTAAAATAAAAAGATTTCTAAATCATACTTTATAGTTATTATAGTGTGTATATGTATACAAGTTAAAAAAAGAAAGGAAGTGCATGTGATGTGATCAAAGAGTTGACTCCCACCTACATGTACAACTATGGCCTTGATCAGACAGAGTCTGTGGCACACGACCCTCGTAAAGGTGTTCTAATAATAAGGATGTGCTGTATAGAGCACACCTACCTGAGAATTCACGAAGTGGAATAATCAAGAAGTCTAATGAGCATCAATATCTTCCAGCCACAGCCAAGAACAGCACAGTTCTCCCCCCCATTTAACAGCTGGTAAATGCAGCTTAAAACCAGCATGATCTGCACTGCTGGCCTCTGAAAATAAAAGTTTAATAATGGATGGATTATGCAATGTGATTCTGAGTGTTGACAGTCCATTCTTAAAGATAACCACTGTAAACAAGTCATGTGCTGGTTGCACACAGAAGCTATAGTGGGGTACTCGCAGTACTCAAACTACTAAGGCAGAGTAAATCTGGATTATCTGGAAATAGTTCTGGATATCATAGAGTGAGCTGCCCAAATAAATTGGCAAAAATTTTAATGACCTGTGTCCAAGTCAAGTAATATCTTATTTTACACATTAAAGTAATTCATGTAGTCTAACAACATTTCTACAGAAGCTATACAAAACTTGCTGTGAGATTTTTTTTAGCTGGATTAGCTTCTTAATGATGATGTCCTGACATTTTGGAATAGTTTGCCTCATCAGGAAATGTTTGATCATATCAGACAGAATATTCATAATTAAAGAGCTGTCAGATAAATGAACTCCGCATTACAAACATTTTCTTGTGCCAGGCACAAGGGGTGAAGGGCACAAATCTAATTAGTCATGAGATGATAAACAGGATAAGAAAGCCACATATACCAGCAACATTTTAATCACATCCTCAGTACCTGGTGGCATGGATGGGTTACGGAATGGGGCTACCGGGCACAGGTCCAGGGGTCCACGGGGTCTTAGGGCTGCTAGACTAGACTACTGTGAAAGCACTGTTAGCTGCTCTCTGCTGGAAAGTCAATCAAATGAGTCCAAAATGAATCGAGAAAGCCAAGAAATGTATGCAAAACTACTACAGATACAAAACCACTAAAAGAGACAGAACAGACCCTAAAACATGACTTTTCATCTAAACTGCAGTTAGTACAAAATACTGCAGCCTGTGTCTTGACAGGTGCTTGTAAACAGGAGCATATAATTCACTTTTAGCCTCACTTCACTGCCTTGCTGGATTGTTTTTAAAGCTCTTCGTGGTCTTGCACCACTCTATATTTCAGAGCTCTTAGAGCCCCATCTCTGTGGGGCCTCTTAGCTCCTCTGACCAAATGTTCTTGAGAGTTCCTGGGTCGAGGTTAAAATACTGTGGTGACTTCTCAGTGGTAGCCCCCACACTGAAATAAACTACCACTTGGTATTAGAGCTGCCCATGATTTCGACATGTTTCACAAGCTTTTAAAGAATCACTTGTTGTCTCAAGCATTTGACACTGGCTTTTTATCTTTTGTCTTCTGGTTTCTATTTGAAGTTTTTCTGCTTTAAAAAAAGAAACGTTTTATTTCGTTATTATTTAATGCCCAGCACTTTGTAACTTACGTTAGAAAGGTGCTATGTAAATAGAGATTGATTGATTGATTGATTGATTGCTATAAAAACAACAAAACATCTGATTGATGCAAAATGAAAAATAAAATAGGTATAAAATAACTACTGTACAACAGGACACAAAGCAGCCCCAAGAAGACTAACTGACTACAGATCGCTGTCTTGCTGATAGAAGTCAAGGACCTTGTGCGTGTGCGCGTCCAGGGGCTCATTGTCTCCCAATCCGTCAAAGCAGGTGTGACTTCCATTGGCTGATTATGAACCATGCAATTATTACGGCGCATCACTCAACTGCTGCGATGTTGGACACTGACAGTCCAAACATCCAAACATTGGACGGTTAGGACAAATCAACGGTCCGGCGGCTGCACCGAGCGGTGGGCGGGGCCGCAGCGTCACGCGCTCAATGGGCGCGTGCCTTTAGTTACACCTGGAGAGAGAGAGAGCGCGCGTCGTTTTTTTTTCGTCAATCTTTGACACGTAGCCAAGCGACGGGCCACAAAGTCAGCGTCTGGGTTTTTACTGGTCTCATGTGGACGAGCAAATAAATCAGAAAACCGGTGAGAGAAGATTCCCCAACGTTTTCTGGAGACCAGCAACGTAATGAAAACTGAAAAGGACGGTGAAGAGGTGACCGGGGTGTCGGCAAATCGATTCACCGGAGGTAGGAAACATTTCAGCTTTTTAACTTTTTCAGTCATAGTTTCGTTGTGAGAACCAGCCCTAAGTGCACCAAGTGTGTGTGTGTGTGTGTGTGTGTGTGAGAGAGAGAAAGAGAGAGAACGACGGAGACCGTGAGAGTCTTAATTAAGTGGGACATCCAAAGTGCACCAGAGGAGGACCAATTTAGCCCGTTAACGAGGAAAATTAGGTGGTGGTGAAACAAGACTTCATCCATCAGCCTCTGCTGTGCAGTTTCACTTGTTTAGCGGTGCTTTAGCTGGAAATCATCAGTTTCCACTTGAAGTGAAGGAAATCTAAACACTACAAAAGTGAGAATTAAGAATTTGGTATGAGGAAAGAACACCCCGTACTGTCTGAAATACCGAATAACACTGGGAAAATGATAAGGTGCGTTAATTATTTGACTGACTAATGTCATGAGAATGGCGTATTGCAGTTTTGGTCAATTCCTTCTTGCCTATGTTATATACAGTCACCGGCCACTTTATTAGGTACACCTGTACTGTTGTATACACTTCACTGCAACACTTCCTCCTTAACATCTGTGTTTATGAAGCTCAAAATGTTTGTTTTTGGTGAAATTGTCAAATGTATAAATTCGATTATATGGTTATTATCGAGGACATAGCTAAAGGTGGTGTTGAACTGGACTTTTATTTGACAATTTCATTAAAAACAAACATTAACACAGCTGTTAAGGTGGAAGTGTTGCACTGAATTGCATGTAATTGTACAGGTGTACCTAACAGTGACCCGTGAGTGTATATTAAAAGCATTATATTGAAATTACTCAATAGAAAATTCATCTACAGCTGTTTTGATAATTGATTGTGTTTAATATGTTTATCCAAACTTTCCCTTCTTATCATCAGAGACAGTATGCTGTTTTGTTTTGTGCTGTGTCCTGTGTTTGGCCTGTCGATCACACAACATAGACACTATGAAGAACTCAGGCTTTAGGAAATAGTGATGGGCTTTCATGATTATTATTTAGACTATGTTGACTATTTTATAAAGCCTAAAGTAATCACCAGTTGCAGACCTAATTGACAACCTCACACTTATGGCATGTTGTAGCGTGTTGGGGGATATATGAGGAAACAGTGTCAATGGTGTGAGAAAACAAATTTTAAATTAAACAGTTTCATGTGGCATCTTGAAAATGTGCTTACCAGTATTTGCAGACTTCTGCATCGTCACATTCACATTTAGGGCATCTACAGATACATGACAAATTAACAGAAAACTTTATTGTTGCAGCCAGTTAACAAACTTGTGCATTTAATTTGAGTTACTGCTGGGTAGCTTGTGACTTTTTCAGCATATATTAATGAGGTTTTGTGCTGTATTGTTTGTATTTATCTGGTTATGAAAAGTAACTAAAATTATATAATGTAGTGGAGTAAAAAGTACATTTGCCTGTAAAATACGGCTATGTCAAAGTATGACAGAAAATGAAAATATTCAAGTATTTGAATACAGTAGTTGAGTAAATGTACTTGATTACTTTCTATCACTGTTTTTGAACAGGAAAAAAGTGATCAATTTGCGATTAATTGCGAGTTAACTATGGAAAATAATGCAATTAAATATTTAAATCAGTTGACAGCACTAGTTAAAACTTTTCAGAATGCTCCTGCATTGTTTTGCATTTTGACTTGTAGTTGAATAAAAGTGTTTTTCAGTCATACTTCATCATTGAAGATTTCTTAAGTGTTAAAATATCTCTTGTTCTTATTAACCCAATAGAGATTTGTGTTTCATTATAAACATTGTTGTCTAATTTTTCAAGAGAAAAGACTAATGATCGTGGCGACATGTTGCATATGTGCATCTGGTTTATTTGCACACCTCCGTTAAAGTGTAATGCACAGTGTTTATATCATTGTAGACTGTTTTTGGACTTTAGTCTGTTGGTCAGGCATTTGAAGATGTTTATTTCTTCAACCATATTTACATCAGTAGTGTTGGTAAATACAAAAATTTGTTCCTTCGTGCTGACAATAGCCACAGCCCAATTATGTTTTTGGGTCGTCGGTGCATCTGACCCATTCTTGTGAATATGGACGTCAGGAACGCCTTGAGGGAATTTCTTCAAGTTTGGCACTGACGTCCACTTGGACTCAAAGATGATCTGACTAGATTTTGGTCATCACATGTCACTGTCACCTCGCGTTCGTCCCATTCTTGTGAATGCGATATCTCAGGAACGCCTTAAGAGAATTTTCTCAGATTTGGCATAAATGCCTACTTGGACTCGGGGATGAACTGATGACATTTTGGTTGGCAAAGGTTGAGGGCAGTGACCTCACGTCTGTCCTGATCCTGTGAATTTGACTGCTTGCAAAGTGGTAATTCTAGTTTATATTTGAATTTTGTTTAAAACAATAGCCTATCTTTAGGTGGTCCTACTAACATATTCAGTATTGTGCCACTGTTTAAAATGGCTTTTTGTTTGAATCATTTGTTTTCGTGCGTGTTTTCATGACAGACACATTTTGTTATTCTCTGTGGCAAGCTGCACTTGGCCAGCATTTGTAAATGGACAATGTAAGTCAGGGGCTAGATGGAAGGAGAGGAAATCCCACCCAGAGTTTGTCCACTAAACGTGTCTTTGTTGTCTTCCTGCTTGGAGCACAATACAACAAGGTGCCCTTTGCCGTTTATTGCAGCCTTTTAATGTGCTCTGTTGGTGCACAGAATTTTAAAGCTTGCTGCAGAGTGACATTTTTCCTGGCCTGTTGTGTAAAAGCGAAGGGGAGGGGTTCTTTTTAAAATGAGGCAGCTTAATCTGTTTTGATAATAGTGACATGTACTCCTGCAAAAATATTAATAGCACAGAGTAGGAGCCTGTAGCCGTGGCTGATAAAATGAAAGACCTCTGCAGACTGATCATTCTGTCCATATATGGGTTTGAATTGTTAAAACACTGAAGTGAGTAGCACTTTATTGCATTTGACTGTTAATCTACTAGAATGTTGACCTATGGATAGTTCTGTATAACCCACCCTATTATTTACTTAATGTTCATGGCATCTTTAATAGAATCTTGTATAAAATTAGACCTGACTCAGCTGTGCAAGTTATTCTACCATATGAATGGGCTTCAGCACTTTTAAATAGTATTTTATTCACTATAAAATGAGTTTGAATTTAAACATGTAAACCTGATTTCTTGCCACCATGAAATATTAAAGCAGTGCTTTGGAAGAGAGAGCGATTTGCAGCAGGGGCAGATGTGGCAGGATGATCCATGTTGCTGATTTGACCATTTCAATCACTTTCTTCAAAGTTAAGTGTCTGTGTCAGCATTGCTTCCCCATAGGCTTTTGGAAGTGTAAAGACAACAAGCATTTCCTGGTGTGGTCTCTTTATGTGCGTATATACAGACACTGAAGAAAAATATTTTGGGGGGAGGGTCAAAGGACATCAAAAACATTTTTGTATCTGACCAACTGAAGACCAGACAACCTAGCTGACATTCCCAGTCTGTAATGTCTATACTATATACACAATATTTGCTGCATAAATAGACGTATACCTAAGTCTTTTCCTCATGATTGAACTACAGACACTGTTGGCATAAAGCACAGTATTGGATATGTTTAATGTACCTAGTGTATTGTTAACCTGTGTACTTTCCAGCAGAGGGCAGTGTGTATGTGTCTCTATCTCCAAGGATACTAGAACCTGTCCTGTTGTTTGTGCTTGTGATGTTAAAGGTTATTTTTTTGTCTAGAAATCATCAGATGATTTTGTCGTCATGTGGTATTTGATACATATCCACATGATGTAAAAGGTGACCTTATCTAGATATCAATGCACATTAGTTACTGTGTATTTTGTCTGTATATCTGTAGGATTCATACTGTATCAGTCAGTGGCCTTAAATATGCAAATTCTAGGGCTTTAATGAGAAACTTAGCATTTGCATCTGAGAGACATTTATTCTATAATGCCGTTTTTTTAATTTGTCATGTATTACTTTTTTCTCTGCTGCCGAATTCATTCCTCCTTGGGGATTGATAAAATGCATGTTTGGACCTTTTGGAGAATACCTGTGAGAGCAGTAGGAGCTCAGGGCTTTGAGGAGTGTGTTTGTGGTTCAAATCTCAGAGCCCCAAGGAACAGCTAGAAAGTGAACCTGTTGTCATATTGATTGTTGCACAGGGCAACTCCTGTACTGTGAGGAAGGAGGTGCTGAAAACGTGTGCTTGGCCAAACTTCCTCCTCCAGATCAGGGACAGCACTAGGCTTGTTATGATTTCACAACTCAGGCGGTTATGTCATGTGTTTCCACATCAGCTTATTTAAAGTGAGCAGGTGGTATAGATGGTGCTTCGCTTTACTGGAGCACATGGCTGTTACTGGACATGTGAGGATTGCTTCTGTCAAACTGCAGACCTCCCTCGCATCTATTCATTTACTGTTAGACAAAACATTAACCAGTGACTTGACTGGTGCCACTGGAACTGTTGATATTAGTGTGTAGCCTATTGCCGGTGCTTATCAGGCTAGTTACTGCTTTTTAGCAGTGGTTTGTTTATCTCTTCTTGATATTGGAACAAACTCAAAATGTACTGTATCAAAAGATCCAGATCCATCGTATGAACACTTCCCAGATGGTTAAGAAGCCAGCTGATTGTCAGACTTTCAAATTAAGCCAACTCAACTTAGGACCAAAACACGTTTTGTCATGATGCACATTTGCCATATTATACACTGGACTGACACCAGAGAAAAATGAGATTAATGGCACAACCACATGCGCATGAGAGCATGATCACCTCCCTGTGCTGTGAAGAGGTGAGACACAGTGCACCTCATTCACTTTCCCTCTGCGAAAAACAGCCATGTGGTATCAAGTCAGCCTCAAACATTATTGTCTGCTCATATGTCAGTGAAGCATTTGATCTCTTCCTTATTCTTACAGTGCTAGAATGTTATTATGACAAGAGCATGTACCTGTGTTGGTACTGC